CGGGCGCTGCGCCGCTCTCGGCCCACACGGGCTTACTCTGGCCTGACATGCCTGGCGGGGTGGGAGGAGGGGCGGTGGCGGCGTGTGGGCGGCCCGGGCCAACCCATCCTCTGCTTCCTCCCCAGAGCGACGACTCGGACGTCTGGGACGACACGGCGCTGATCAAAGCGTATGACAAGGCCGTGGCCTCCTTCAAGGTAACGCCAAGGGCACCCGGAGCCAGGGAGGGCTTCCCAGATCCGGCCCCTTTCCCGCCCGGCCCTGTGCGGCCCAGTCCTGCCAGGGCTTCCCTCCGCGGGCGCTGCGGCTCTAACGAGCCCTGGGGGAAGGGTGCGGGATGAGGGCTGTCTGCGCCCTGCCTGAGGTGACTTGAAACCCTCCTCCTAGCTGCAAATAGGGCAGGTAGCTCCAGAAGGGGCTCGGCCTGTATAGCACAGGCCTGGGCTCTCCTTGTGTACATGTGCACAGATGTTTTAGGAAAAGGGGAGTTGAAGGGGATGCTGCTGTCTCCCTTCCATACATAGTTCAGAGCATTGAACAGCAGAAACTTACAGAGCACTTCAGAAGAACGGCACTGCCAAATTGTGACTGAAATCTATATCTTTAAGGCTGGTTCCTTGGGTAGATTTGAAATGATACGTTTGGGGGCAATCCTTTGGCGTTGGGTTAACTCAAACCAAACTTCTTCCCCTTCCATTCCTGCAAAACAGGTGCTATTTTGAAATGAAAAGTTAAAACTGTTCATTTTGAAAACATTCAAATGTTTTTTTCTAAACTGATTGCTTGTTGGGGGGGAAAAACACCCAGCACTATTAAAAATGCACATCTATGCAAATTGATGGGACTGTTTTACAATATCTTGTAACATCAAAAAAAAATGCTTAAACATGTAGTCTTACCTTTGTGGCACCTACAAAGGTAAAGACTACATGTTCAGAAAAATTCAGACTCTGCACTGCTAAATAAGTACAGCTTATTTAGCTGTACTTAGGCATATAAGTATCATTTAAAAATATCTTGAATTTCCTCTAATTATACTTAATATCCTCTAATTATAATTACTTTATAATTATAGACTTATCATCAATATTCTTTAATTATATCAGTTAAATGATAACACAGCAGGCAGCTTGGACACAGCTGCTGCTGGGTTCTGCTCCTGGGGCCTTTTGATGGGTTAGGAGGAGGGAGCAGCAAGCCCAGCCAGACAACACAACCCATGTGTCATTAGGCTGCTCATTGTTTTTCTCTTTAACCTCATAGGCTATGGGTGCTAGTCCCCCCTTGCCCCTCTTTCTCCCTCCTCCCTTCTGCCTGCCCTGCTGCCTTCTAGTTTCTGCTGGGGCACTGCTTGGCTTCCCTTCCCTGTCAGACTGCACCCCATCCTGCTCTAACCTTGCCGGGTATCACTGAGCTTATTGGTTAAATGATTGATCGTTTAACCTTTCACATCCCTAGCTGTACGATGGGAGTTGGGCAGGAGAACTGTGTGAAATAGCTGAGCTTTAAGGTGGGGAATTCATTGATTGTGTGTGTGTGTGTATTTTACTTGTAGAATGCCCTCAAAAATGGCGAGTGCTCAGAACCTTCAGACAAACCAGAACAATGCTCTGGAACAAAGAGAAAAAATAATAAAAAGAACAGGAGTAGAAAAAAAAGCAATACGGCACCATTGAAACAGGTCATCTTAACTACATACCTTATAATTCTGCTTTATATTGCACACTTTTATGCTCATATTTAAATTTTCTGGGGGGAGGAGTTCTCACCTGAAGGTAAGGCTTAAACTGTGGTCCTCAATGAGTTTTTAAATGTGATATTTATAAAAGTCTGCTCTACAGGCCCACTAGAGAAATGCATCTAATGGCTATGAAAGAACCTTACTGGGGAGAGGAATATATTGCAGTGTCTGTTCAGAAAGATCTTAGATGAATATGTGATGATCTGGATATTTGTTAAAAACTTGAAGACCAGAGTAAAATTAAATTTTGAGAAAATACTCTTTCCAGAGGTCACAGTATAAGGTTTTTAGTTGTCTCTTACTTCTCTTGCAGTGGAAAGTTGGTGACAACTGTAGTGCAGTTTGGTCTGAGGATGGAAATGTGTACCTAGCAACTATTGCATCAATTAATCAGAAAAGAGGGACGTGTGTTGTTGTTTACACTGGATATGGAAACAAAGAAGAGCAAAATCTATCTGATCTGCTTCCTCCAAATGATGCTGAAAGAGTTCGTGAGGAGCTGAATGCTACAGAGGTGAGGACAAAAATGAATGATTTAATATTCCACTAAAAGTGAGCAAAACTCTTAATTTCTGTTGCGTTTTTTGACTACTGTTGTAGAGCTCAGCGGGGTATGTGGGAACTAAAAATCATTGTTGTTTTAAGTGAGCTTGAATCTGAAGGCAATAGTATTGTGTATGCTTGCATTGGGGCAGAACATACTTCTGTGATTCTTGCTTGGCTCTCTACTTTAGAGAGGAACCGGCACTCAGATCCAGAACTGAGGCCAAATCTTGCTTCTGCCAATTTTTCACTAATATGGAATATGTCTATGGAGCACAGTGCAGGGGAACTTTAAGCCAGCTTTGCATGCAGAAGCCCTGAAATCAGGAGTACAGTTGTTAGTTTTGTACTGTGCCTAGGTTGCTGATAGAAACAACTATGCTAGGCTTTCCTAGTACAAGGTTTAACACTAACATAGCTGTGCTGCTTCTGGATCCAGAGCCAGTGCATGCACAGTTAGCTCAAGGTATGTGTATGGTGATGCATTATGCAGTTTACACATGCCTTTTTGCTGGAGATAAAGCAACTTTGATAGTGAAATAGTAGACTAACAGTTTTTATAAAGCTGTTGCTTTGCCTCCATAGCTTGCAGGCTTTAGGCCCTTCCTACAGAGAACACTAGGCAGCATAATGGTTTGCTTATGCTACGCTTTCTAGTTAATGTGGAGAACTTTGTGTCTGATCAGGAAGTAATTTGTGTATGCGTACATCCATGCTCAGGAAGCTGTGGCACTAAAATGTCCTGAAGTCATTTTCTGAATTTTAGATTGTCTATGTTGTCTTAGGAGACAGTATGGAAGAAGCTGAAAGAATGGGAGAACCTGACATTAAAACTAATGAGAGAAAAGGGATAATGCTGTAAAGAATGAGCAAATACATAAAAAGGAGCAACTGTGAAGTGCCTTGGATGTAAAGGCAAGAAGCTTAGCTCTAATGAGGTAGAAAAGAAGATGAACTTCAGAGAGATGCAAGACAGCCAAATTGGGGGGAAGGAGTTAATATATCTTGATTGGTGTAAGAAAAAGAGACCAAAGAAGAAGAGGGAGCAGAAATGAAGTTGAAAGAAGATGATGGGACAAAAGTTTTGTTTGTTTGTTTGTTTTTAAGGATAGGGTTTCATACTGGAATTTGGTTTGATATTTGCTGTGGACTTTTGGTAGCTGTAAGTTGGTACTGGTTGCCAGACT